GGAATATTTGGCTTACTGGAAGCTTTATTGGGACGCCAGGCTGCCGCCGTTTATTGCCCGGAATGGATATGCAACGTTTTAATTGCTGCAACGAGATGTTCACCGAATTTCCTAATTGCCGTTTAACATGGCGCTGTCCAAATTATTTGCCGATAGTTACGTTAAATGGACAAGTTAAACGATCTTAATTGGGACAGTGAGAAAGTCGTGTTACATTTTTATATTTTGAACAATTATTTTGTTTACAATACAGGATGTAATTCTACAATTTTCTTAAGCAAAGTTATACTTAATTTATTTACTGGCGTAACGCGTGAATCTCCAATGTGTACATATACCTTAAACAGCGATATAGTTTACTATATAAAACACGCATAATATAATAATATCTAGTTTATTTTTGCGTAAAATCAGGAATTAGAAGGCCAACATTAAAATATATATTTAACAGAAAACTTGTTGAGAACCACTGACTTCAATGTGGTATTTACGCATAACATAATCCATTCTGAAAGAGAGATCAAGTGTACCGAACTGTTAAACTCCAATTTTTTGTATGTAACATGATGGAAGAAGAATGTATGTAAAAAAATTTTCGAAATATTTTCATAAAAATGCATCCTCCTTGCCATTCCTATCCGACAATGGTTTTCAACAATACTACCTACTATTTGTTATTCATTATCTGTGTATTAAGGTTATGCCCTTAAGTAGAGGCGGACCTGTATTATGACCACCTAGGTCGCCCGACCTAAACCCATTAGACTTTTTTCTGTGGGGTCATTTAAAAAATAACGTTTATTCAACACCCGTAAATAGTAGAGAGGAACTTCTGTTGAGGCTAACACAGAACTGTGACCATCTCCGCAATAATCACGGAATATTATTTCAAGTGCACCGGGAAAACATTCGTAGGATTAGAAAGTGCATTGAAGTACGGGGTGCTCATTTTGAACATCTACCGAAGTAACATTTAGGTACCTTTGTTCATTGTTGAATGTTCTTTGTTGCATGTCTTGTAAGTAAGTTATTTTTCAAATGTTATTTTTAATTGGTCACTACTTGCTCATAAAGTATAGCCAACCCGTTCAAAGATTTCTGGACTTGATAAAGTTAAAGAAATTAAATGCATGAAATAATATGTAAAAAAAATAAATTTTAATTGTTGTTGTATTTGTTACCAATTTTTTTCAAAACCGATTTATCTCGCAAACCGTTCATTTTTTCGAAATAAATAAAGAGTACCATTTTTAAAGAAAAACCTTCAGAGTATCTAATAATAATATTTTCAGTTTGATAAAATTACTTCTGTCAAAATTTTGAGAAAAATTGTGATAGGGCCAGTCCGTTTCTGGACACCTGATAATAGCAAAAAGTTGATTTTAGCATCAAATCGTAGAGCTCCATGTGTAATACAACGTACGAAAATTTTATTAAAATATACAGGGTGGTTTCAAAGATATAACCCTAAACGTTAATTTCTAGGTACCCCTTTGACCCCCCCATAACTCCGTTAGGGGGCACATTAGGAAAAAAAATTATAGGAAGGACTAGTTTTATTTTGACCTCCCCTATACACTCCCGAGAGATTAGGAGGTACTTACCGGACACCCTGTATATAAATGTTAAATATTTATATAACCTAAATGAGAAAATATTGAAAGAAGGCGGATAACAAGGCGTAAAAAAGCTTGCACGGAATAAATATACATAGTGTCCCAAAAGTATGGATACCAGGTGTATTGGGATATCAAGAACATGACTTTTATAAAAGTTGTTGTGGTGATCGAGGAGTTTCTATTTGAAAAAGGAAAGTTGGCTTTTAAACGACGTTGGAAATTTTTTTTCTTTATATACATACAGTATGTCCGCGAATCGAGTTTACAAGAGAACAAAACGACCAAAAAGTGAAAAATATGAAAAAAGCATTCTTGATTAAAGTTTTTGCTTGAAAGATGAATAAGAGTCACGTTATCAAAAATTTAATTTTTTAGACAGGGAACAAAGTACAGTAATAAAAAACTAAAAAAGTAGGTAAATAAAGCAATATGATGAAGATATCAAATTTCACAAACGCCACCCCCATATTGAACACATTTTTCTAATTGTGAAGGAATTTCTGATTTCTTCTTGGGATATTGAACGGACAGCTTGGATAATTCTGCCTTTTAGCATTTTAATATTACTTATTTGGTATTGGAGTAGCATAATCAATTTGTTTTAAACGGCCCCATAAAAATATATCGGCCTTGTTACGGCTCCTTGGGGCCACAAAATTGGACCATTTTTACCAATCCATTTTGAACCAAATCTATGGTTAAGCCATTCTGTTACCTTACGAGCACAATGTGCTGAACAACCATCCTGTTGAAAATACATTTTTTTGAGAAAATTTATTGGTAAATTTTCGAACTAAAAAATATACCAAGCATTTCTAAGTACCATATTCTATTGAAGGTTTTATTGTAAAAATATGGGCCTATAATGTCATAGACAGATATTGCTCGCCACACGTTCACTTTTGTAAAATATTGTCTTCGTGTCATTATTCTAAATTCCGGATTTTCTAGAGACCAGTACCTGTCGTGCCGGGATGCTACAATTCCATTAGTAGAAAATGTACATTCATCAGAAAACATAACAGACTTATAAAAATCAATATTTCCATTTAAAATTTTGTCTCCTACCCACAAACAAAAACAAAAAACCCACAAACATGTTTTATTAAAATTTGGTTTGAACGGAAGTATTTTATTTTCTTTTAAAATCTTCTGAATATGACGTTTTTACAACTTCTAACTGTTTATTTCCAAAGAACATCAGAGGAGTTGCCATCCTACTTATTGGGATTCCTAAAAATACAAATTGTTCGCTAAATTGTTCATACAATTATTCATGCGTAAATTGTACAGGCTGGTCCATTTTCGATGGGATTTCAGGGTATCTCAGAAACTACTAAAGATATGATAAATCTGACACCACGTTCTCGAGCTCGATTTTCATGGCAAACTCGACTGTCAAATCAGAAATTTGCTATCTTCATTTGTTTCTGAGTTACAGGGCGATTCTCGTTATTGTGACACTTTTGGACATGTCTGTACCTCAGCTGTTAAATAAGTAAGAGTGAAAGTGAAAACTGCTCAAGACTAATTCTTTGGCGTAGAATTGAATGCCGGTATTAGATTTTTAGTAGGTCTTAAGATTCCGGAGTTATGACCCAAAGTTATAATTTTGTAAATGGAAATCGTAGCTGATTATGACCTAAAATAATGGAGATTTTTTTTTGCTTTTCAGCAAATAAGATCGACTTCTTATTTGTGGAAGGGCGAAATAGGCGTTGACTATTAGACGCCTTCATTATAGCCATCCTTGTCTATCACATGGATTTCTATGGCTTATTTTATCGCTCTCCCGTAACTTCTGATAGACCATCGGTACTTTCCTACACTGTACATGTTGTGCATTTAAAATAAATGTTATATTTTTACCACAGATATGACTTTTGAAAAAGTAAGAATTATAGTTTTATCTGTATTTTCGTAGCCGGTCATATTAAAAAGGAAAAAAAATATAATTTATATATAAAACACCCCGTATCTCCCGTGTTTATAAAAATAACTATAGCATGTTATATATTGCTGAAAAGCGGAAAAAAATCTTTATTTTTTTAGGTCATGGTCAGCTACGATTTCCATTTAAAAAAATATAACTTTGGGTCATAACTCCGAAATCTTAAGATATACCAAAAATCTAATACCGGCATTTAATTCTACGCCAAAGAATTAGTCTTGAGCAGTTTTCACTTCAACTCTAACTTATTTAACAGCTGAGATACAGACATGTTAAAAAGTGTCACAATAACGAGAAACGCCCTGTAACTTAGAAACAAATGAAGATAGCAAATTTCCGATCTGACAGTCGAGTTTGCCATGAAAATCGAGCTCGAAAACGTGGTGTCAGATTTATCATATCTTTAGTAGTTCCTGAAATACCCTGAATTCCCATCGAAAATGGACCAGCCTGTACATAACATTTTATAATAAAAACTTTTTGCTCAGTAGATAGCATTTTTATAAGAACTATTTCGTATTTTCTAAACAAGCAAATACTTTTGTCAAGAATGTCTTTTTTCGTGTCTTTCACTTTTGTCCTCTTGTATACTCAATCCGCAGATAAGTAATGTATGTAATGCAATAAAACACAGTAACAGGTCATCCCCCACATTTCTAGCTCAGTCTTAAAATATCGGGCCAACCTCAACTGTAAAATATATAAACCTATCTATGATACGCAGACAAGCAGAAACTGCAAGCACAAAACATTGGCTATATCAAAAGCGCAATGTGTTACCTTTGCACTTTATACTGTTGTTGGAAGTTTGTGCCTTATTCAGATTGGATTTATGACAGATACATTGTTTCCTGAAAATTTAGTTTGTAGCCATTTTCTCCTAGACATGTTTCGCTTCCTCTCCGCCTCTAAGCTATTACCATAAAGATATTGAAAACATATTTCTTCCAACAGTAATTTTACGTCCCCGATTTTACGTCGGTGCACTACGAGTCTACGTGTATTGATTTATGTCTCCAATTGATAGCAGCATGGAATACTTTTACGACAATTTTTCTATTCCTTAGAATTTTCTCTGCTACCTATATTTTTTTATAGGAAATTATCGGTATAATTTTTTAATGTCTGTATTAATCCTAGTAAATCAGACAGGTTGAAGTATTTAATATCATATTTTTTATTTTCTTCAACTTTAAAACATGTACCACACTTTTTTATATTGCTAACTTCCTATATAAACAAGTGCGTAACAAATATAAATGATAATCATAATACATCTGCTCAGAAGTCGTAGACTTGTGTGTGAGAGGGTGCGGCATGTTCTTATTCAGCATACCGAATTTGCGCAGTTGTTAAATGACTTTTTGAATCATCAGAAAAAAAATTGAAAAATATTGGAATTTGCATTTGCATTTTTTATCTTTTTCCAGTTTTTCATTCAGAACAAGCCGAGGAACCCCTCTCTAGATCAGACGAGTAATAAATCAAGTAGCAGTTATCAAGATGACTCCAAATGCCCGCATCCCGGATCCAGTGGGGCCTTAGATAGCTGCAGGAGAAGGAGGAGTAGTATAGACCTTTACGAAGAGGCCGCTTCGATACTGGGACTCACTTGTGCACAGACTGACGACTGCAAATGCTTAGAGTGCCAGGTTAGAATTTTGAGCTATCTAGATAGTTAGTTGTATTCTAGATAGACAAGTTACAAAAGTGCAAGAGATTCAATTCAGGTGATATAGCTGGCCGTTGATAAGTTGCTTCCTTGTTATTAAGATAAAACGTGTTTTACAGTATTTATTTTATACAGGATTACATACATATGGCCCAAAATGTTTACTTTTTAATGCACAAGTTATTCAAATTTCGAAACGTTTAAAGTTACGTAGATAAATGATATTTTGCACATGTATTAAACTCAAAATGTAAAATTAGAATTAATACAATTAAAAAGAAAAACCAAACAAAGTATTAAGTATGTAACGAAATTTTAATATAAAATTATTAAAATAACCATCAAGAGTCTTTGGACCTATTTGCAAACGTATCAACAAATAATGATCATTGAGTGAACATGCATTATATTCATGGTTAGGTTAAGTATATTTGTATACATATTTATTGTTTTTCTTCTTTTTGTTTGTATTATGTTATTTAGTTATTACATTTATTGTATTTTTCTGTTTTTACCCATCCTGTAAATGGAATTTTCTTTTGGGTGGTGTATAAAAAAATTTAAAAAAAATAAAAATAAAAAATAAATAAATAAAATAAAATATTGTTGAAAAAATTGTTGAAATGATGTCCGCCAAATTCAGGGTTGTACTCTTCTTATAAAGGAACGCACTATTTCAATAATTTCAGATGTATTATTGCACACTATATTACAAACAGCAATAACTGCATTCCCATTTTCAATCGGTATTGTGTACACCAATGATTTAATGTGCCCCCATAAGAAACAATCTAAATTATTTAATTCGAGAGATCTAGGGGGTCATGACTGTGGTCCACACTGATTTAAATACATATCTTTAAAGAGTTTAACTTTGACTACCTTGTTCATTGAAAACTGAGCAGTTTAGGCTACATAATTATTTGAATTTTCTTCTTAAAATCACCTCAGCAATCGCCTCTTAAAATACCTACATGTTGTTGTGTACCGCCCATGAATATCATTTTCCGAAAAACATATACAGGCACTCCAAAAATATTCCAAGTTTTGTCCATTAAATTCAAGACGTAGTACTCATTGGTGAATAATATGTTTTTGTATGCAATCAGGCTTCTCTGCTTGCTCACGAATTGTGTTTGAGGTTTTGTCAATGGCTTGTAATAGGCCTCGTTCATTAATTAATTCATTGACTGTATGTCAAGAAGAAGGCATACTTTCATATTCATGGTCTTACATTTTCCTGTATCACAATATACTTGGTGGAGTGAAAATTGCCGTTGTTACACTTTTGCATCAGTCTTATCTAATAATGTTCATAATTACTGGCCGAGTCATTGAACAGATGGAATTAGATCTAGAATTTTTCTCAATCATCTGTCTACTATATCCTTCCGAAGTCAGTTGAACCTGTATAAATACGTCTAGCAAAAAAATTTAATGAGTTTCATAGGCGTCCATAAAAAGGTTTTCTGCTAAAGGTAAAAAATTACAATAATTTGTATATAATGTGTAGAAAATTTGGCCAACATAAAATTAATGGTATTGAACAGCCCTGAAATTTTACAGGTTACCCTGGATATGGTAGATTAACCTAACTTTAAAATATTACTGGGTTCTAATAAGAAATGACCCTATACAGGGTGATTTAGTCATAATGTCAAAAAAATTTTAAAATGCATACTTATGCTAAAAAAAAAAATCAAATCATTATTTAAACCCAATTTCGGACCGTTCCTACCGCTGACCTTTACTGAGTAAATTAGGTCATTAACCTAGCTTTTAATACGTTTTTAATCTGTAATGAGCTACAAATAATAAATAAAACTTTCAGCCAAACATATGAATGAACAAGATATCTTTTAACATTTTAAATAATGTTTATTTGTTAATAAAAACAAATGTATAAGTATAACTGTTTTCGAATATTTGGAATTTTTAAGATTGTTAACATATTCACTACGTTTTTTAAATAACTATGAATTTCTTGTATGGTAAATTAATTATTCAGTTTGTAGTACTTACTTTATTGTGTGACTTCTTGCTTTTCAATGAGTACCTACCTATTTAAGGAGGTATATCGTGGTCCGAGGGAAGTGAGGAGCGCAAGGGAGCTAAAGTCCGCTGCCAGTTTGAAAAAATAAATTCTTTTAAATTTATTTGCGATAAACATTATCTATATAGCAAATAAATCTACTCATATGCACATAGCATACATATTGACTAATTAACAACTTAAAAATATCATATTTAAGTAGTTTTAAATTATATTTAATGAACGCATAAAAACTATGTAGATGTGGCAACAGCGCTAATAATTGACTAGCAGTTGTATACACTGCGAACCTACAGACCTCGGACATCGGAGATATTTCCCGTCAAATTCGGGTAAAGATGCGTACGCGTTCAAAAATGTATTGTTTGTAAACTATGTACAAAATAATTATTATATACTTATAGCAAATATATCGTATTATCCTCGCGAAGATTTGTATCCTTTATTTAAAATTCGTAAATCATGTGAACTGACAAAACAACGAGAAAATAATTATGTTAATTTAGTTCTAAAGAAATGAAATGCCCATCTCGCGCCCATCTCTAGTCCAAGTCAAAGAAAATATTGGATGCAATTTTGAAGGTTCTGTGATAGACATTACATTATTACTCACTGTTCTTGTTTTTCATCTCTATTTTAATAATGTTACAAAAGTTTTGCAACTATAACTAATTTTTTAGATATAAAGTTTGCTGAGAAATATTTATGTTCCTTTGTTATTCCGTACAAATGCTTTTATCTCAAGTATTACTAATTATATTAATCAAGTAAAGAAAACTTTATGTAACTCTAAATATTGCTGGGTAATGATTACGATATTTTTATAAACCATTAAAATTAAAAGAATTTATCAACTGTATTTTTTATTCCAATAAATATATCACAGCTTTCTAGTCTTTTTTAATTAATCTAGTTTTTTAAAAACATTACAAGAAATCATCTGTTGTAGATAATTTATTGTTGATAACAATGTACATACATGGGATTTAGGAAAAATGTATATGTTTGAAATCAATTTCATTTTTATCAAGTCTTTCAAATGTATTCCCTCCTTGCTGTCAGCTGATTGCGACGTTGCTATATTAATCCTCAAGTCAGCCAGAAATGCAATTATTGGTTTCTGTTTCTAATTAATACAGCTGTACTCTGTTCAAAACTTACATTAGTTTTACATCAAAAATAAGATAATACGTTTACTATCTATGGAAAAGTTTTGTTTCACAATTTCTACATTTTTTTCTCAGTTATGGGCAAAAAAGAGCCGCACCGTCCGTTTTCCCCATATAAACCTATGTTAAAATGAACAACTCTCAACAACAATATCTCAAAATCTAGATTAAAAAAAAGTTCAAAAAAATATGACGCACAAAGAGAGCACTGGGTAATACTCTATATAAATTTCAAGTATATCTGTGCATTTGAGTAAACCCGACATACCGCCTTAAAAAACACTACAGATAAAAAAACCACTCACTCATTCTTCCATAGCTTTGTTATTAGAGTTTTATGATCCGCTGCTCTTTGATTTTGAAACCAATTGCAAAATCCTATACGACTGTGTAAAAAAATCAGCTCTTTCACTTCGACCTTCGAGCGCTTTAAGGACGTTCGATACACCTCTTCCGGGGCGGGCGGTGCGGAGAGTATACCTATGTTTATACACGGGAGTCTTGTTGCAGTACCAACTTTACATAAATTAATTTCAACGAACTAAGTATGCTATTTAGAATGAAATTTATACAACACATATTAGCTTGCATATTTTTTTCGTGTTTAATACACGTCAGTTCACTTTTTATTTGAATAAAAGCGTCTATTTATTCATTACGGGCTTGTAAAATTATGGATGAAATCTGGCAACATTGCCATGGCGTGGTGGTAAAAGTTGGGTCAACTGTCATTACTGTCAACTTTGCGCGAATTCCGTAAACATGAATGAACAACCAAGGTACAAAGGAAAAGTAATGACTGAAAAGTAATATAAAATGAGTGTAAAAGAGAATGTGGATTGATGAGAATAAAATAAAATGTGCAAACCGAGAATCCATATGATAACTATCAAGAAGTTCAGTGTATGATAGTGAGACGTCGACTTGTCATATTGAAGATTATGACATAACATCTATACTGTTCGTTTTGCAAAGAGATCCTTTTAATTTTTGTTTCAAATTGCTAGTATATTGCTTTAGATCACGAAAAATTTATTTAATATTAATTATTACTACATATATTTTCGACTGGAATAATTTTATAATCTATAATCGAGCTATTCAAATACATATAACGCATCAGTCGAAGTATTAAATACAGCGTACAGTGTTGCCATATTTCCTTTCATTGGATCAGATGTTTGTTCAAATTTGTCAAAACGTTATCTATTCATTCCATTATCTCAATAATTACATTGTAAGTGCATATTTTTATTGTTTTAAAATGTTTAGTAATATTTAATTCTTTAATTATAATTTTATTTTTCCGATCCTAACCATTTTTAAGAGCAATATTCACGTTTGATTAAAGTGTTTGCCCCAACTCCCATAAGAGCCTGTGTAAAAGAGCATAATTTTTAAAATCATTTTTCAAAAAAACTACGTTGTCAATCGATCTGATATTTTTACACAAGTCAGTTTGCATATTTAACAGATTTCAATTGCTTTGAAAACATTCTTACCATTTTTCTTTTGGTATCGAACCTCCTTAAGTCCACCAGCGCGTGCCCTGTTGCGAAGTAGAACGGCAAATCAACAGGAGTTAAGGGGTAGTTTTCTTATTTTTTAGAAGGTAGGGTAAAATTGTTTTGTTTTCGATTTTTTGTCTTATTAGGCATTCCAGATACGTGGTTAAAATAAATGATATTATGACTGAATCACCCTGTATATTCTATAAAATAAATTGAATGTCAATGTAAAACTGGAAATGGCCCGGCG